TAAATATGCTGCAATGGGAGAGAGATCAGGTGGAAAGCTGATACCTCTAGAGACAAGGACTACTGAAACCACGGCAAGCTCCACCATAAATGCAAAGATGGGAAGGCCTCATTCAAAATAGATATGCCCCTCACCCAAGGTGGCACAGGGGACAACACTGGCGGGGGCGGTGCAGGTTTGTTTCCGGGGCAGTCGGGAAGGAGTGCGATTTGCTTGCCTTCGTTAGTGGAGTGGTTCCTGACTTAGCATCCACTCCTCTCAGCAACTGCAGCCTGCCACCGGCACTGCCAGGCAGATGGAGAAAAAAGAAGGAAAAAAGGCATTGTGAGCACCTTGCCAGCCCACAGAATAAGCCCAGTGCACAGGGCCCTGCTTTGCTTTCTGGGCTAAAAGGTGGTGGTTTTTCTCTTGGAGCTTTGCAGCAGCTGGTTGAAACGCCCAGGAAAGAGGGACCGGCTTTGTGAGCTTCTGTCTGTTGCTGCATAATCCCGCACCAGGAGGCTGATTTGCAACAAAACATGCCCCAGCAGTGAATTGTGTAAGCTGTTGCTTAAAAAACACTAGCCCCATTGTTTGCCCTTAGAATTTGTAGGCATCTGGCTGTCCATTAAATATCTCACTTCCTCCCAGGTTGATGAGGATGCATTAGACCCCAATTAAATGTCCATCATCATCAGGTATCAATGACCTTAGCTTTCAAAACCAAGTTGCTTCCATGTCCTGCCGGGACATGGATTTGCCTTTTGACTCCACCTCGTTCTACAGATCATCAGCTTCTGTTTGAACTCAAATCTCCGCTTGCTACCTTCTTTTTACATAGTGAGATAGATCTGAGAACAGGCTTAAAATGGCTCCAAAGTGGTGCAGCAGGTATCCTTGGCAGACAGGGCACCCACATACTGACCGTGGTAGGATGTGAGTAACCGCTAGTCACGTGGCATTTGCAATTATCCCATCACACTAGGGCTCTTTGCCTCACTGAGGATGAAAGCCAAGGTGCTAACAGCTGCTACCTTTGTGCAATCGTCCTGTGCTACCAGTAATTATATTGCAGCATCCAGGACTTTCCAGCATGGTGGAACATCATCACAGACCCGTGGCACAAAGGCTGCAACACACTCGGCATTTGTGAGCTGCCTAGTGAATGAGAACTAAAGACTTGCTTCCAATTAAGGGTGGTCTTACAGGTTTCAAGGGCAGGACAGAGAAAGATGTTGCTAGGGGAGTTATGCCTTAATTGGACCCCATCCAATCTACATGAGGTGGGGGTCACCATGCTGAGACCCACACCTCATATCGACTGGAAGCAAAGGGCAATACGTTTTTCCAGCATTGTCACTAGGGCTCACGTGGCTGCATCTTGGTCTGGAAGCCAAGGGGGGCCCGCTGCATGGCTAGAGGATGCCTTTCCATGGGAACCATTTCCAGCACATTCAAGATGCAATGCATTTTAGGAGTCAGGGTGGAGAGACCCAAACCAGATTAGGCAAGACACCCTACGGTGTTTGAGGGCAGCCAACAGAAAGGGGTGCGGAAAGCAGGGAAAATATTGGTGTGGTTGAGCAGGTGGAAAAATTCAGCGTGAGATCATCTGTCCCTGGGGCGCTGCAAGTGTTTGAGTCTTTGGCTTTTGGGTGCAGGCGGGGCTGGATACAGAGCGAGTTTCCTGAGCAGCGTAAATTGGGATAACAGGATACGGAGAGCATGGCTGGACGGGGCGTGATTGATCATTTTGCCTCGGGGAGGAACAGCAAAGAAATGGTTTGGATATTGGGCAGCCCCCCCTCCCTGTGGTGTTACACCAACGTACGCCCACTGGCGGGTCTGGTGCGTGGAAGCAGAAGGCAGCCCTGTGCCCCGGAGAGAAACAGCAGCAGGTCCCTTTTAAACACGTTTAATTGTTTCCAAACTTTATTTCATGGTGATTGACGAAAGACACAAGTTAGTAATGGTTATATCATGCTGCTCCTCTACTGTGCATTGCCCTTCAGAAGTCATACAGCAGGTCACAATGATCATTACGTTACCCTAAAAAAAATGAAGCCACGTGGACAGACAAATTTAAAAAATAGCCAAAAAAAAAAAAAGTTAAAAAAACAGGAACCCCCCCAACCCAACCCCAAACATCCATGTCGCTTTGTACATACGAGTTATAAATGCTGTTAAAAATAAAGCCCCAGTTAAGTGCATGGCCCCTTGGATGCGCTCCCAAATGCGCCGTTGGTTCAAGATGCTTGACAACAAGGACACAATGTTTTGTTTTAAGGCATCTCCAAGCCCCAGCAAAAGCAGACAGTGTTTTGTTTTGTTTCTTTTTTTATTATTATTATTAATTTTTTTTTTGCAGTAACCTTGGCTTCATTTTAGTGGCATTCTGGGAAATTTAGCAGCTTTCTCTGTGCATGTTTCTGCCTCCCCTGCATGGGGATCTTCAGCCCTCGGGATCCACTGATGAGCCTGCACTGTCCAGCTAGAACCTAAGTTTCAAACTACAGGCGGAGAGAGAGAGGGGTTTGGTTGTCTTTCTTCCCACCCTGAACCCCCGCAGTCCTTGTTAGCCACTGGCTACCTACACCGTGGGAAGAAAGTACAGTAGTCAGTCTGCTTTACAACACAAGCACATTACTCTCCATCAGGAACCACAATATATTTACAGTAGCCACTTAAAATGTGGTATCGCCACGCACGCGCACACACACGCACACCATACTGGAGTCTCCACCTTGTCTCTCGGGGGGCCTGAACCCAACTAAGTCACTAACCACCCTGGACAGCAACTGCTCAGGCATGGATTTCCATCGAGGACATGAAGGAAGGGCTTTTGAGCAGGGATGGAAGTCTGATTTCTTTAAGATAGATCTAGGAAAGTAAAGAGATGGAAACAGAAGACACTGACAAGGGATATCAAAAAGCCCCCTCCTCCCCCCACCCCCAGCAAATGGATACCCCCATGCAGAAGAAGGCATCTCTGGAAGGTTTTGACACCCACTAGTCCAAGGCATCTGTGATGACACGGGGTTTGGTGGCAGCAGGACAACCCACGCACCTTCACTCCAAAAGAGAACAGTGGTTTTACCGGCGTGCTGCTCTCCTCCATCCCACCTGCCTTCAGATCATGCCCTGAGGAAGGTGATTTTGGTTTTGTGGCTCACAACTTAGTTCACAGCTTTTGGTGGGAGTCGGGGGGGGGGGGGGGGGGGGGG